GAAAATAAATTTTCCAGTTGCTGAAGAAGTCCCAATAAAGGGACGAAACGTCCAACTAAATCAAACATAGTTCTACTTCTTTCATGTCCAAGTTCCCTGTGAAATTTCATCATTAAAAATTGTAATTTTTGGACGAGAGAAATACTAAATAAATTATTATTATTATTTCCGGTTGATCCTGGCTTTATATTAATTACAGTGAGTAATACTACTCTTGACGTTTATACAAATTCTTTAGATTCGATGAATCGTCCCACGTATTTTATTTCCTTCTTCATTTCATGAAAGTAACATGCGAATCGTGTAGGAATGATAAATATATTGCAAATTGTGTTTCTACGTCTCGGTGTGTGGTTACCACGTTAATGGGGTTTTTTATTAATAGTATCGAGACACGTATTCCAGACTTTTACGTGCCATCCTATCGATTACATTACATTCTAACACCCAATTCTACCGAGCAATTGTATATGTCTCACCCACAACACACAATTTTATTTTTATTTTTATATTTTTCGAGCTCGCACGAGGTTATTTAATTTTCTTCCAAATGAACAAGTCAAAATTAGTGCAACAGAGATATTTCTTTAGTTCATGTTAGATCAACATATACAAATATATTTGATTACAGATGCTTACGTCGAATTCTTACAAAAACAGGCAAAGTCTCTCAACTTGCCGGTTAAAGTATATCATGTACATTTAGGAAAACACATCGTGGTTCTCGCATAGTTGGGTACAGAGTCAACTGAACCAGCTATTCTCTTGAACAGTCATATGGATGTAGTATCTGTCTTTGAGGTAAGTAATATAATTTGCGAAAAGATATTATGAAATTACTAAGCTCATTAATGACTGTCTCTTTAAATTTGGCAATTAGTATGATTATTGAAGGATTGTTTATTAATTAAATAAATGTGCATTTTTCAGGATAAATGGATATATCTATCATTCAGCGCTCACATGGACGAACATGGAAACATCTACTCACGTGGCAGTCAAGATATGAAATGTGTTGGAATACAGTATCTGGAAGCTGTAAGACGTATGAAAATGTCTAATCAACGCTTCAAGGGAACTGTTCATATATCCTTCGTACCCGATGAAGAAATTGATGGTAAACTTGTTATGAAGGAGTTCGTCCACACGAATGATTTCAAGACTTTAAATATCGGTTTTGCGTTCGATGAAGGAGTCGCTGATTCTCGTATCGATACATTCTACATATTCAACGGTGAAAGATCTATTTGGCACATAGAAGTACATTGTATTGGAAATCTAGGATCCTTATTGCTAGATAATACTGCTGGAGAAAAAATCCGAGTTATAATTGATCGATTTATGGACTTAAGAGAGCATTGGAAAAAGAAAAATTGAAAGACCCTGGCAAATATCAACTTGGCCTTGTTACGACAATTAATCTAACTCAATTAAAGGTATACAGCAACGTATTTCGTTTTTCATTCATTTTTTGCTCATTTATATTAAGGAAACTATTAAAAATGTATTATTTAATTATTAGTAAGTATTCAATATATTTACAGCATTTTATTTGATTTTTTAACTATCTAATCAATATTTTGATATTTACATGTCTATTACATTAGGATTTATACGATTCGTAAGTATTTAATGTATATTGAGTATTTCTATTGATTATTTTCTTTACTGTTTTATATATGTATCTGTAGTTTTTGTTTTCTTTTCATATGTCATTTTATATTTATTTGACATTATGAAATAGTTACTAATTAAATATATTTCTTTTGCAGAGTGGAATACAAACGAACGTTATACCAAACGAATTGATCGCTGCGTTCGATATAAGACTTGCTCTATCCATCGATCACGACGAATTTGAAGCTAATATAAGATCAAGAAATGGTGCGAAGAAGGTGTATTTTACACGTTTGAACAAAAAGATTCAAAAGTTGAGAACACCAAATTGGATGATACCAATCCATTTTGGATTGCATTTAAAGAGGCATGCGAAAGCTTGAATATAAAACTAGAAATAGGTATCTTCCCGGGCGGAATTGACAATCGTTATGTAAGATCTGTACGTATACAAATTTTGTTAATAAATATTAATAATCCAAAATACACATTTTTAAAAAGAAAATAAAGAGAGATATACTAAATCGTTTTATTTTTACACACACACAGATCGGTATACCAGTAATTTGTTTCTCGCCAATGAATGATACAAAATTACTTTTTCACGATCACAATAAACATTTAAACAAAGACATATTTTTATGGGGTATACAAATATATATGAAAATACTACCGACAGTTGCAAATGTTTAAATGCTATATCGAACAATTAAACGATATAATAAGGTCGCTGTGCTACATTCGCGATATATAACAAAAGTGCAATAACAAGTTATATAATAGTATAAGTTTATTATTTTATTATGTATTTTATTATGTGCGTGTGCGTACGAAAACAGAAAATAATTATTCATACATAAAATTAAGAAACATGAGAGATCAATGTAAACACGTAAACAAAAGAAAAGCAAATAAGGTAAGTATATAACGGATTAAGAGATAACGAAGTTTAGATGTTTAGTTTTTCGAATATTACAAGAATGTATGTCTGCTCAAATGAAAAAGACGCTGAACTTTAGAGATTAAGTTGCTGAAGAAGTCCCAATAAAGGGACGAAACGTCCAATTAATCAAAACTAAGTTCTAGTTCTTTTTAATGACCATTTTCCCTACGATACTTATTTATTAGTAAGTAATAATTTTCACAAGAATAAAGAAAAAGAAGAAAATATAAAATAAAGGAACGAAGTTTATCATAGCAATGAAATGGAAATAATTATTATATTAATATAAAGCCAAGATCAACCAGAAATAATAATTATTATTATTACATGCACAAATATATTTTAAAAATGACTACTGCATTTGTTCATCCAAGAAGAAAAAGAAGAAAAAAAGTAATTGTCAAGCTTAACGTATTGTGAAATAATTAATAATATATAAATGTTAATCTTTATGGGGATGAAAAATTGTGAAAATATTACTAGCCATCGTAATTAGTTGATATTATAACAAGTTGATCGAAAATATACGAAATGTATGTTAAAGGAACCGCCTATTGACCTTAGCAGTATCAAAGGATGTGCTAAAAAAAATCTGTGTTAAGGGCACCATTAATGTGAGAGCGTGACAACAAAAAATTATTTTTGAGAATTTTTTTAGAGAAAACTAATGCATGGAATGTTTTAATGTTTTAAGAATATATTTGTGGATTTATAATAAATACATACATGATAACATTTTTAGACCAAAAAAATTGAAAATTCAGCGAGTTATTCTCAATCTCCCAAGGCTCCAAAAAAAAGACATCCCACTGCTGCAGTGATAGCGACCTTCACAGTGCCTGAGATCAAAAAAACCAAAAAGTTTATTAAACTAGAAGATATTGCCTTCGTATTGCCAAGATATTGAAAAAAAAATTGAAATTTAACAAAATGGCGGAGTTTTTAAAACAAAACTAATATGTATACTTATGTACGCACATAAGAAGTTATACTTCTTTGGCGTACAAAAACAAATATAACCTCAAAAATAACATCAAAAATAATATCCAAAAAAAACTCCAACTATCCCGCGTGCTAATATAATATTAGGTTGGCAAGAAAGTAATTGCGGATTTTGATTATAGATGTCTCACTCCCATTTTTATAATACTCGTTAATGTTATGATTTTCTTTTTATTATATAGAAAAGAATAGAAATATTTTCTGAATTCTATATCAGAAAAGATATAGAAATATATACATTATTATTTTTTACTAAATTGAAGAATAATATATTTTTATATTAAAAAAATAAAATGTTAACTGTAATTCAAGTAATAAATCTTCCTTTATTTGCGCTAGATGGTAAAAAATTTATTGCTTCAAATTTTTTGTAATATTTTAATTTTATTTCCTGTATATAATTAAAAATTAAGAAATGTAAAAAGAATTTGTACAGCTTAAGGATAGAAAAACTTAAAAAAAAAAAATAATTCCCCCACAAAGAATCGAACGGTAACTACCCGCGTGAGAAGCAGAGACGATACTACTTACG